TGTCCGTCCTTCAGGACCTTGCACCGGAACTTCTCATTTCTCTCTTTTCTCTCTTGCACTCAAGATGCTCGCTGAATTACTTCGTAAAGTTTTTCTTTTCGCGAGACGTCGGAACTTGTCCGTCCTTCAGGACCTTGCACCGGAACTTCTCATTCCTCTCTTTTCTCTCTTGCACTCAAGATGCTCGCTGAATTACTTGTAAAGCTTTTCTTTTCGTGAGACGTCGGAACTTGTCCGTCCTTCAGGACCTGTACGAGGTTACAACTAAGCTAACTTTTTACGGATGTATATGTCACAAGAGCGCTTCATGATTTAGATAATCTTAGCTAAGTTCGAGGAGTTAGCATGATGGTACTTCACAACTTAGATAAACAAACTCTCAATTCCAACTAGATTGAGAACTTTTGATATAAAAACCAAGAGCTACAATCGAGAATAATTATTTTTCTTATCAAAGTTGGCTCAGTAAGTAATTAGAAGTTAGATAACTGATAATATTATTATATATATATTGAATATTTAATCAGAATAGTTAATCCGGTGTCCCGATTGAACCGCTTGGACATTGGAATATAATTGGTTCGATTCAGGACCGGTTCATTCCGAGGAAAGGGTCCCGGTTCGATTCGATCTTTGGAACTGATCCAGCCGAGTCGCTTTGTTAGTTGAGTTTGGTGAGAAGCATTGCGTCCACATTATTGCTCGATTTGATTGTAGAATTAGATGACATAACAAAGATAAGGCTCCAACTAGCTTGTAAAAGCGGAATAGTTTTTGGATAATGATATTCTTAGATTAGATCATTTTCTTAAAGTTAAATTAAATATTTCGTTAAATACGAATCTTTATTATAATTAACATGGTTAAGTCTCATAAGATTAAGGCATCGTTGAAGATTTTTATATTTTCATGAAATCTAAGTCGCCGTGTGACGAACGCTTCCAAGGGTTTGATTTTTTTCTCCGTCAAAATATTATAATCAGCAGAAATGTAGCTTTGGATCCGAAGAGTTATTTGGGTTTCGAGATGCACAAGCAGTACAAAGTAAACAAACAAAATCACCAGCGTTGAAGCTTACAAGCACATGCAGGGAGGAGGCAATGTGACTGCAGGGAGATAAATCTAAGACGGGCAGCCAATCACCATCTTTCTTCCTCATAAGTTCCAATACCCCCTCCCGCTGGTGGCCGACGGCGACCTCACCTGCTCAAACCAGCTCCAGTTCTCCGGATTCCTGAGGGCCGGCGACGAGGCCTCGGGCCGTGGAGTGAACGGACCGGCCGACCCCCGCCACTCCCCGACGCACTTCACCACCACCTCTCCGATCTTCCCTTCCTCCATCGCCTCATAAACCTTCTCTATGTACTCCCCGGGACTCACCTTCTTCTCCCCTGTCAGCAGCTCCGTGCCCACCTCCTCCCTCACGAAGTTGTACACCGGGTAAGTCCTGCACTTCTTTATCCTACTCCCCACAATGAAGTCTCCTCTCCCAAACCTCTCCCTCGCCTTGGCGATCTCCTCATTCAGTGCGCTACCCAGCTCCTCCTGGAACTTGGGGATCCGCTTGAACGCCGCCATGCCTTCCTCTGTTCCCTCCAGCGCCTTCTCGACCAAAACCTCTCTCAGCTGGAGCATCAACGCGTACGACGGGTTCGCGGGGTCGTCGATGTAGGAGAAAACCGGCTGCCTTTCGGCGACTTGGATCAGTTCTTTCTCGCAGAATCTCGCCTCTGTTAGCCTGCCGTCCTCCGCCACATAGAGCGATTTCCTGGCTGACTGCAGCAGGACGTGCTTCACGACCTCTCTCAGGTTCTCTTCCAGATGTCTCAGGTCGATTGCTTGGCACAGAGCGATCATGTAGGTGGCCATCATCAGCTTCAGGATCTCCACAGCCTCGGCGCTCTTACGCGCCGAGATTAGGCCCAAGGAGTTGATGTCCTGGTTGTGCTGCTCGGCGCTCTGGACGTGGGTCGTCACCGGGTTGGCCAAGTACTGGAGCTCCGAGCAGTAGGCGGCCATGGCGATCTCGGCTCCCTTTAGGCCGTAGTCGAGACTGGGGTCGGCGCCGGCGCTCAGATTGGACGGTAGGCCGTCGTTGTAGTAGTCGCAGACGAGCTCGGAGAATTGCGCGAAGACCAGCTTCCCGATGGCCGCCAGCGCGACGCGGAGGTTGTCCATGGAAACGCCGATGGGTGTCCCCTGGAAATTGCCGCCGTGGAGAGCGATGTCGCGGGCGACGTCGATGAGGGGGTTATCGTTGACTGAGTTGATTTCCCGCTCGATCGAGTGCGTCGCCGTGCGGATCACCTCTATTTGCGGCCCGAGCCATTGCGGCGACGTCCGCAGAGCGTACCGGTCCTGCTTCGGCTTCGTCAACGGCTCGCGCTCGTGCCGCAGCTTGGCCTCCTTCATATAGTCGCTGCCGTCGAGCAGGAACTCCATAATAGCCGCTGATTCGATCTGGCCTGGATGGTGTTTCAGTTCATGGGTCAATGGATCGGTGAACTCCGGCTTGCCCTGCATGGCTTCACAGAACATCGCCGATAGGATTACCGAGAGCAAGGCTAGGATGTTGGCGTCGTAACACACGGTGGCCGCCACCGCCGAGCCGACCGCGGTGCCGTTGACAAGCGCAAGCCCCTCCTTTGCCTGGAGCTCAAACGGCGCTCCGATTCCGACACGCTTCAGCGCCTCGACGGATGTGATCTCGTCGCCCTCGGGGGTGACCACCCTCGAATTGTGCCGCCCGGTAAGTAGGCCAGCGATGTAGGAAAGCGGGACGAGATCGCCTGAGGCGGTAATGGTGCCCCGCAGCGGTAGCTTGGGGATCATGTTGCAGTTCATGAGCTTGGCGATGGCCTCCAGGAGCTCCCACCGGATGCCGGAATAGCCCTGCATCAGGGTGTTGGTCCTCACGAGCATCGCGGCCTTGGCGTAGCTCGAGGGGAGGAACTCCTTACCGACGACGCCGGCGTTGAGGAAGCGGATGAGCTCGGTCTGGAGGTCGGCGGTTTTCTTGGTGCGGCGGTGTGACGTGGCGCCGAACCCGGTGGTGACACCGTACGTGTCGGTGCCGCGCTCGATGTTGTCAGCGACCCAGGCGGCGCTGCGGTCGACGCGTTCGCGCGCAGTGTCAGCGTCGAGGACGACGGACACCGTGAGGCGGCGGGAAACAGCGGCGACCTGCGCGACCGTGAGGGTGGTGCCCTCGAGGTCGACGGAGGAGAGGGTGGAGAACTGGGTGATCATGCGGTGGACCTCGTCAAAGTGGGCACAAGAGAGGGCCTCGGCGGCCTTCTTCCAGTGCGGGGGGTCAGGGACGTAGGAGGTCCCGGAGACAGCGATCGGGTTGATGCCGTCGGTCGGGACGGGGAGGGTCGGCGGCCGGAAGCACCGGATGGGGCGGATGTAGCTACCGGGGGAGTCCATCGCGGCAGAGTGGTGGTGGGGCTTCTTAGGATATGTATGTATTTGTGGCAGTGAAGACAGAAGCAGCCCCGTCATGGAAGGAAGAGGCGGGTGGGATTATATACTCAGAAGCTGTCACGCACCGACAAAAGCCACGACTGTAGGCTGCGAACTCGTTCTCCATTAAAAATTCGTGTCCGAAGTCGGGACTCGATGCTTGATGACTCCGTCAACAGGACGGGCAGGGTTGGTGGTGGTGGGCTGGCGGCACTCGAGAAAGATTCACCGTTTTCGATTACATGGGCGATTTACTCGCCCAGGTGATTGGTGTCTGATGTAGGGCCATCTATGCCTCCAATGACAATTCAGGTACCTCACGTTGAAGACGCCCGAGTGGGGGAAGCATTTAAATATGAAGCAAAGGGGTTGGTGGGAGACCTCACCACGTGCTTGCGTTCGTCTCTGAAAGGCGACAACTCGCTTAAATATTCGTGTTAGGTTTTGATCAAGTTGGATGGATGCAGACAGTTACCAACCCATTTAAGCCCGAGTCTCTCAAAACGTCACGATTAGTTCCGTCCTTTAGATTTGCGCTTTCTGTGATGGTGGTCCATCAAATGGTGATATTGCATCATGTCAAGGCTCGCCTTTATCCGTCGTCTTTTGGGTTCAGTGGATGAGCCAAAGCAATAGAAAAGACTGCGTCTGTTTTTCTTTGTGGGATAGCTAAAGGGATCAAATAAATCGGGTGTCTGCGTCAATGAGAGTTGTTAAACATTTAAAGAGTTGTTGACTTTCGGGAGGTATGGAGTGAGTCCACTGTGACGGGCAAATCATTAGGGCATTCGATAAGGGAGAGTACTGTTTGAATAATTGCCATTTGAGGCAGAAGAGATATATATACATATACATATACATATACATATATAAATTTTTAATTTTAATTTTAGTTTTTTATACTTAGATTTATAAAAAGAGAATAAAAAATTATACTAAATATCAATCTTCTCATAGTATTTAAAGGTTATGAGATTACAAGGTATTCTCCTAACGCAAGTTGAGATGTTTGTTACAAGGTTGTTGTTAGTGTAAATAACTTTAAGCCGTGGCCTTGGGACCGACGCGGCTTGGTTTGGGTCCGGATGATAGGGGATCTCCCTGGGACGTTTCCCGAGACTGCTGAGGCGGTCGATTGCGTGGGTTCAATCGAGACGGGGTAGTCGTTTCCATCGGGAGAGGACTCCTCGCCTGTGCATTCCGTGGGTTCACACCTGCATAAAGGTTGGGTCGGGGAGCTCGGCCCGACCCCTCCGACAATCAAGTTAGCGAGTGATCGTGGGGGGTTTGCTCTTTTTTAGCCAAGTTGTCTCTGCTTCTTTTTTTCCTCTTTTTCCTCTCGTGCGCGAGGGTTTTTATAGTAAGAATTATCGTTGTATGATGTGCCTGCCCGCAGGGAGCATGATCGTACTTCTGGTAGCGTCTGACATTACCGTTGGCGTGACATGGGGGATCGAGCCTGAGCAGGGTGATAATGTGCCTCGGCAGGCGTTCCGGTCTGCGTTGACCGGGTGCCTCATCAAGTTGACAGAGGCGTGATGCATCACCTGGTGCAATTGAGGTTATATGAGTCTTATCGCAATTATTACCCTCATCATATTCCCCCCCCGGAAGGAAGCTATGCGTCGGTGCTGTAAGGGGAGTCTGATGCATGACTTCGGTTTCGAGAGACTGTTCCTGCCGGGCATTTGTCGGTCCGTTGCCAAGGGTGCGGGGATCGTGGGGCTTAGTAATCAAGGAGGGTTGTGTGCGCAGTGGTGACCCTGGGTAGTGTGCGGCCGAGGAGCACCACTCGATCGAACAAGCCGAGCCGAGGCTATGATCTCGAGCGACGCGTGACCGAGGAGCACGGCTCAGACGGGCAGGTCGCGTAGAGGTAGTGGTCTCAAGCAACATGGAGCCGAGGAGCACGACACAAGCGGGCAGGCCGCGCAGGTGTGGCCTCGAGGAGCATGGAGCCGAGGAGCACGACGCAGGCAGGCAGGCTGCGCAAGTGTGGTCTCGGGCAGCATGGAGCCGAGGAGCACGACGCAGGCGGGCTGGCTGCGTAGGTGTAGTCTCGAGCAACATAGAGCCGAGGAGCATGACGCAGGCGGGCAGGCCGCGCAGGTGTGGTCTCGGGCAGCATGAAGCCGAGGTGTGGT